GCATCACCTGCTGGAAACCGGGTCCAGCGTCCCTTGATTGTACAATTTTGAATATTATGGATGTAAAGGAATCAAGAGGATAAACAAAAACCTAGAATTGAAGGAAACTGTCCACACTTCTCCAACCAACAAAATTTGGAAAAGTAACACTACCTCTTCATCCATTACCAGGACGCCAAATATAACTATTTAAACTAGCAGTGTTAACTCTATAATCCATACCAGGAGCTTGGAACCAGGGTTGTTGCAGGGGGAGGGAAAGGAGTCGGGAAGTCAGACAAAGGGCGCATGGGAACTGAAGCGTCAATGGAAGTCCAATCATCAAAAAACAGTTTGTAGTCTCTTTTCAATCCAGAATCATCTTCATTCTTAGCCCCATTCCAAGTGACACAGCCCATTCTCCGTCTCTGGTTTTCGCCCAGCCATTTACGACTTAAATTACGAAAATGTCTTTGGATTTCTGCTTTATCTGAGAGAAATTGAACATTTTCCTTTGTTCATTCCCATTTGGTTAAGATATTTGTTTGAACCTGTTGTTTAATAGTTTCTGTGAAATCAGGGTCATCTAGCCTAGCCCCTTCCCATTCATACGTACATTTCCTCATCCATATAGCCCACATCACCGCTCTTCTTCCAATACGGAAAAAAATTTCCACAAATTCCTCATCATTTTCCACTGAATCTTGGTCTGGGGTCCAGGTTTCCAGAAGGATAACTTTCCAACCCCAAGGCCAAGGAACCTGTTGGACTAAATGTGACCAGATTCGATCCCACCACCTCCAAAGCCATACTGAGCCCGGACATTGCATAAAAATCTGCTCTATGGTTTCAGCATATATTCTACTTGGGAAAGTTGTTTTGCATAACTTACATCATCTTTCTGCTAGTCCGTCCTGTTCTAACGAGGATCTGTTAAGCAGCCAATCATTAACTGGTAGACACCTATGTTCAATTTGTCATTGGAGAGAAGTTATTTTGGCTGGTTTATCCTTGACTGTTTTAAACCACCTGACAGACCTTAATTCCTCCTTACTGATATTAAGATGTTTCATCCATCTAGTGGAGACCTTGTCTTTAAGGTTGATTCTAGGCCGAAGCATTCGGTATGCTGATTTGACTTTGAGTGAGTGAATAACTCTTTTGAATGATTTGTTATGCCTTTCTTTTCTTAAAACCGAATTCCAAACCCAGTTAGTCGGGTCAAGAGGGAGTTCCGAAATAGGGTAGTCTGGTTTGAAGGCTACCCAAGAGTCCTTATTTCTGATTACCCTTATTCTGAAAATCTGTTGTGCCTGAACCCAACAGGTTTCCTCTTGCCCCTTAGAAATTACTACATTTGTGGATGACAAAGAGAAATTATGCAGAAAAAAACTCTTATCTTGGTCTTGGTCCAGAATTAAGTCAATAGACTCAGACTGAGCCTTTAAGGTTACCCAGTCATTTATCATTAATGTAGAGTCTTTCCTAAGAATTTGAAACCATTCAAGAGAGATGAGTTCAATAACCTTATCAAGTGTTTCCAAAGAATGATGACAATACCTTAGCCTTGTCCTCAGTTTGGATGGGTCAATCCAATCGTTGGTATCTATGTCCCATATATCCTTTACCCTCATAATACCATTTCTAATCCAACCCGTCCAACGCGAATGCATACAATGAAGAACAAATCCTCGGGAATCACGAATCCACCTGTTATCAAAAAGAGGTTGTTGACACACTTCCTCCCACCTTTCTGGCGATAGCTTGTCCATTAGGGGAAGTTGTCTCCAAGTTTTCAGCATCGTAACCCAAAAAGGATCATTTTTTAAATCAAGTCTGGCATCTTGTCTACTTGAAACTACATATGTTGCTACAGGTTCAGACTTTCCCCTAGGAATAGTCTAAGAACGATTTTCCAACCAAGTCAAGGGGTCAATTCCTACGGGAGCTGGAGGAGCAAGCCTCGTGATTTGCTCCAAGGCCAATGGTGCCCATGAAGTCTGGGGAATGAATAATAGTCGTTGAAGCCATTGGATTGAAAGAGCCTTGACTTGGGTCAGAGGATCCATAATTCCCAAACCTCCCCCTACTTTTGGTTGGATAATGGATTGCCATGCTACTCTATTGATGACATTACTGTACTCATGATTACCCCTCCATAGATAAGCAGTTAGTTGCCGTTGCAGAGATTTAAGAGAGCATTTATCCAAGGACCAAATTCCTGATTTGTACCATATAGATGCAAGGATTACATTCTTAATGATCATCGTTCTTCCAAAAATGGATGTATGCTTATTCTTCCACATTTCCATTTTAGACTGAGCCGGTTGGGAAATCCATTCATTGTGATTTTTTGGTTTTTCTTCAGCAGAAAGGGAAATCCCTAATAACCTAATTGGCGTATCCAGGGACAACCACTTTATCCTTGTCAATTCATAAGGTCGCCCACCTTGATGATGTATCCACCAACCAGTTATTTTACTACCCCAGTTGACTCTCATATCTGAGAGACGACAAAATTTTTTCATCAGATTTTGAATTTCCTCCATATTCTCGTGAGTAACATCAACCATAAGAGATAGGTCAT